GCTCGCTGGCCCCCTTCTAAGTGACACAAGGTGACTATGGGATCAAAACTCCAGCAGAGATGCCACCTCCCCACCTCACCTGGACCCCTTATCAGCCTGCTGCCAGGCCTGACCGCAGAGCTGGACCACGCCTCTCAGCAGGGGACCTCCAACTCCTTGCCTTGCCATCTGCCTGGGAACTCCAAGCCCACTGCCCAGAGTGACAGCCATCCCACAACTCCCTGCCTATAAGTGACTGATCTGAGATCTGTCTCTGCTGAGACGTTGGGCTCTGGACCTTGAACACTGACTCTTTTTTGTGACCGTGATGTGATCCTTGAAAAATGCAGCCTTTATAAATGACATTAGCCATGTGTAATGTAATATGAATATGCTTTGATCCTATGATTAAGGTAATGATACATACCTTGCTGTACATATACTATTATAATTGGGTAGCCCTCAAAGTTACTTTAACACTGTATACTGTGATCTGTGGATTAATGAATAAGCTCAAGTAGTATTATTGATGTTGATATTAGTGGTATTAGTGTTGAGATTTAGTTCCAGTAATTCTTTAGTATTGCCGTTAATGGAATAGTGTTATAATAGTTGAGTTACATTGTTAAGTGTTAGTAGTTGAGTCAAGTGCTAGTAGTTAAGTATTGTTATAATAGGAAAACTGACAGTGATAAGTACATTGATACTGAAGAGTATGTTAACATGGATACTGATAAGTGTACTGACCTTAATGAGCCTATTGATAACAATGTGATAAAATCCCTGGTGTGTGAGCAGTAAAGTCTTTCATTGTAAAGGCCGTCTTGTGTCCTTGTGTTCCTGTCTTCCTCAGGCTCTTACACATTGCCCTTAAGCCCTGTCGAGCTGCGTGACAGCAGGTGCTCGCGACACATCTTCAAAATAAAGTGTGTGCCCCCGATTCCTTGTCCCAGGATCTTATTCTTGGGAAACCTGAACTAGGACAACAATTTTCAAAAAGTATCAGAATTGAAAATGAAATTCCAGATTGCAAAGGCAGTCCAGCCACTGTCAGACACAATGAACAAAGCACCATACCTCGGCACAACGTAACTAAACTTCACAAGGCAAAGTGAATCCCTTAAAGTAGCCAGAGAGAGTGAGAGGAAAAGGTCACATCACAAGAATTAGAGTCAGACAGGTAGGACTGGTGAAGAGGACTAAGGATTAAGAATCAGAATGGGGCCGGCACTGTGGCTCACTAGGCTAATCCTCTGCCTGCAGCACCAGCACCCGGGTCCTAGTCCCGGTTGGGGCACTGGTTCTGTCCTGGTTGCTCCTCTTCCAGTCTAGCTCTCTACTGTGGCCCAGGAAGGCAGTGGAGGATGGCCCAAGTGCTTGGGCCCTGCACCCGCATGGGAGACCAGGAGGAAGCACCTGGCTGCTAGCTTCGGATCGGTGCAGTGTGCTGGGCGTGGCATGGCGGCCATTTGGGGGGTGAACCAATGGAAAAGGAAGACCTTTCACTCTGTCTCTCTCTCTCACTGTCTTACTCTGCCTGTCAAAAAAAAAAAAAAAATCTTTCTCTGTGTCTCTCCCCTTCACTGTCTGTAATTCTACCTCTCACATAAATAAATAAATAAATAAATAAAATAAAATATATTTTAAAAAAAGAATCAGAATGGAAGACACCAAAGGCTGAGTCCTGGAATAGTCACAGATGTTATCTTGAAAACAGCCCACAGCCTGGGAGCTCCCATATCTTCCTCAGCCATGGCTGAGCCTTGGGTCACCTGGGGTATGGTAGGTATAAAATGGAGTTTCCAGTTGGTCTGGAATCACATATTCTGCCCTTCCTATTACAGGCCTGAGGCCAAGGAAAGGCAGCTTTGTAAAATTCTCTAGGTGCCTTCCAACAAGTGTTCTGAATAACAGGTTTCTGATTGCTTTATGGATTAGATGAGACTTCTCAAGACTCTGAGGAAAAGAGAGAAAATCCACCAAATGCCTACTAGAGATCAAGCAGGACAAAAATTGGTCAGTTGAGACTGAGTGAGTGAGTGAAATTTGTGGATTTCTATGTCTTTTATTTGAAATATTGTTGGCTCTGTAATTAAGCATTTCATCTCCTGGGTTTCAAGAAACTTTTTTCTGGAGTTGGGTATCTTTGTCCCTGTGAGAGGAGAGGTCTGCTCAACTGAGACAGGGCGGAGGCAGAGGAGAGAAGCAAGACTCAGGCCTTCGAGGTCATCCCAGATAGACCAAGGGATTGGAAGATGATTGTCCAGGGGATGTTGACAACACTTCCCCCTGTTCAGTGCTCTGGAGAGGGGGTTGCAGAGCAGTCCGATGTTTGGCCAAAGGAGCCAGACAGTGGCCGGTGGCATTGCATATTGGCCATTTTCCACGAAAGTTTCTTTTAGTTGCTCTCACCACAACAAAAAGAAAGAGGAAAAAGAAGGGTAGTTACCTGAGGTGATTTTTATGCTAATTAATGTGATTGTGAAGGGTGATTTCACTACCTTGATGTGTGTCAAGATAAGTACATCAAAACATCCTGCTGTACATTTCACTTATATACAATTAAAAGGAAACAAAAACAAACCAGAAGCATCAGAATTTTCAGCAGCTGTCCTGAAAATTAGAGATAATGAAACAAAGTTTTCAAAGTTTTGAGAGTAAAATGTTTCCAAAGCACACTTCTATACCCAGCCAAACTGTCATTCTTGTTTGCAATTAGAATGAAGGCATTTTTAGCCATTCAAGAACTCAAAAACTTCACCTAACATTCTTTCACTCACTCCCAAGAAACTATTCCTAAAAATGATACAATAAATCAGAGACAACATGGAATAGTTTCCAGGAGACAGGAGATCTGACACAGGGTAGCATCAACGGGATTGCCTAAAACAGCATCTGTGTACTGGGCCTGAAAAGCAACCAGTCCAGATTGGAACAGGGACAGAGGTCCATGGGAGAAATGCCTCTGGAAAAATATAGGTACTGATAGGTCATTTGGTATGTTTGAGTACTTAGAAATATGTTGGAGACGTATTTGACAGATCTACTAAATTGTTATGGGAGGGGTTGGCGCTGTGGCGCAGCGGGTTAAAGCCCTGACCTGAAGTGCCAACATCCCATATGGGTACTGGTTCTAATCCCAGCTGCTCCTCTTCCAATCCAGCTCTCTGCTATGGCCTGGGAAAGCAGTAGAAGATGGCCCAAGTCCTTGCGCCCCTGCACCCATGTAGGAGACCTGGAAGAAGCTCCTGGCTCCTGGCTCCTGGCTTCAGATTGGCGCAGCTCTGGCCATTGTGGCCATCTGGGGAGTGAACCAGCTGATTGAAGACCTCTCTCTCTCTCTCTCTACCTCTCTCTGTAACACTGTCTTTCAAATAAATAAAGTAAATCTTATAAAAAAATGTTATGGGAAACTGAACTGGGGAAATTCCCTTAGTTTAAACAAGCACCAGAGTTGAGTGGAGGATCAGAGCAGTTTATTAACATCAATGGGGCTAGTGGAATTGCTTCCTAAGACTGAGCCTTGAACCCAGGTGTTTTAGTGTTTACAGGTTCATCAGCACTATACCTTAACTGGCACAGCACTGGTGGGTTTAATTGCAGCCTGCTTTCATAACTGTCACCCAAAGGCATACTTGAGGCACCTGAATCGCTGCAGCTGACTGAGGTGCAGCTGTGGTATTTCTCAGAAAGCCTCTGCCTGAAAGCACCCCCCCTTTTGGGTATCTGGTTGTTGTCTTATTTCCTCTTAAAAGCATTTGGAAAAATGTGTGATAAGTATTGAAAAAACTACACAGATGAGAAAAGGAGGAAGCTACCACCATGGGATGCGGAGAAGTTCTGTAAGAAAAGGAACAAAATCAAAGAGGACTCTTTAGATCAGCAATAAGTTCAATTTACATAATAAAATTAAATTAAATACTTGTTTTTCTGTTTAATCAAAAAAGTTATAATGTGACTACACTGGGACAGTGGGAGATGATGTTTAAATATGATTGCCTGTCACAAAGAAGTTCATAGATGTCTAAAATCAATAAATAATTAATAAATTAACTATTAATCTAATTTATTAATTAATCATTAATTTAATGATCAATTAAATTAAATTAATGTAATGATTAATTAATAAATACAGTACAGTAACATCATTTTACAAGTAAGGATTTACATACCAGAAGAAACATATAAAAGAGTTGAAAGTGGTTACTCTTTGGAGGAAGGACCAGGAAGCCAGGGGTGGGGGTGGGGTGGAGCTGGGGTGGGGGTGGGGCTGGGATGGAAGCACCTGCCCTACACCACCCATCCTTGGGATTCCGCTCAGCCCTGCAGACTTGCTGTGGTCCCTTAGGGATCCTCCAAGGCTCCCGTGTCCCTCTCAGAAGCACCCCTTACCCTGTAGTTTTCGTTTTCTCTTTGTGGTCAATGTCTGCACCTGCCTTGGGCTTCTGGAAGGCAGGGACCCATTGTCTCTCGCAATCCTAGCACCTACCACATAATTACCATTCAAAGCGGCTTATATGAATAAAATAATGCATCCAAGTGGCTGTGGATTTAAAGAACGGAGATACCAAATGGTAACGGTCTCTTCATCCTGCTTTATACATTTCAATCCAATATTAGCTGGGGCTGCCCCCTACTTCACAAGAATCTTAAGTTAATTTTCTCCAGTTAAAATAGACTAAGGGTGCCAACTATCACGTCCAATTTAACATATTTCCTGCAATTAAAAAGCATTATTTAGAAAAACACACGATTTTAAAGCAATACACATGGCAGGCTTTTGACCTCCAAGAGCCTGGAAGAGTCAATTAGAGCCAGACCTGGGCTTTGTCAACATCCAGGCTATTAAACCGCCCATGTCCACCCCCACAACTTCCTCTCCGGTGAGTGACATTTCCCTGTAGCCCTGCGACAAAGAGCCCTGGAGAGATGCTGCGAGCCGCTGCAGGGCAGGACCGAGGGTCCGGAGACACGGCAGGAGGTGGCCACCCCTCTGCCCGCCGCCCACCCCCTTCATCTACCTGCTGGTGCCCGTGAAACCAGTGTGCCGGGGGCGCGGGGAAGGAGCGCAGGTCCCGCTGCAGCCGCTGTCTCCGCAGGTGGAGCTTGATGGCCTGCAGCAGCCCCAGAGCCAGGCAGAACACGAAGGCCAGGTACAAGGACCGCACCCAGCGCGTCTCGAGCCAGGAGGCCTCCATCGCCGCCGCAGCCTCCGGGAGCCGGGGATGGTGTGCCTTTTCCGCTGCGGGCGCTCGGGGATCGCCCGCTGCGCCGCCTGCCTGGGCCTCCGGGAAGCTCCTGGCTGCGGGGCGGCCGGGGCGCGAGCGCTGGGCAGGGCGGCCCCGGCCCGGGAGAGGAGGCAACCGCGCGCTCCCGGCCGCGCGCTGGCTTTCAGCCGGCCCTCCTACACCCTCTGGCGTCGTGGGAGTATCGGTGTGACACCTCTCAATCACCCGGGCAGCTCGGTTTAGATTCCAACATAATGGTCAGGCTGTCACAAAGTAATACACACAAAAGCCGTCTTCCCCACTCCGGAATTCTATTAAAAGGCACAGGGCTGGGGATGAGCAGGTATTACAAGCTGACAACCATTTAGTGCGCTGGAAAACGCCTTCCAGGCTCTCTCGCCCTGATGTGCAGCGGGGCCGGCGCCGGCCCCAGCCTATTCCAAGCTGCCCCGTGGCGTGGCGGGTGGTAGCGGCAGGCAGTGGCGCTGAGCGCGGGGCCGGGAGGAGGTGGGTAGTATTTCCACCACACAGATGCAGTCAGGGCCTGCTGCCTCATCTATGGATCCCCAGGGGATTACAATGTTACTAATGACAGCAGTTCATAAAGCCAAGCCTGTGCCCCTCTGAGTCCAAGGTCCTTTGTGACTGCTCAGGTTCCTGGTCCCTGAAGCCAGCTCTGGATAGAAGAGAGAGAAACAACCTCAAAAGCACAGAGAGTGGCAAAACGTAGCAACGCAGCTGACCCGCGTAGATTTGGTTTGTTGCACAGTAATTAAAGGAGCAACCAGATAATTACTTTTAAAATACCTTCCTCAACCACCAGATATTATCTTCCTTTATCCACTCAGGGTTCTAGAAATATCAGATGTCTCACTTGCTTCCTAAACTGTTGTTGAAGTGCCTTTCATTCAGAAATACAGACCTCCTATTCTGCAAGAATCCCTCTTTTCAATGTATTTGTGTCTTTTTCACTCCTGGGTTCTTCACTCTGACCTAATGGGCACAGGCTCACTCAGGGTCCACCTGTAACTGTGACTACTACTGAAACTGACGTAGGGACTCGAGGAAGGGAGTTAGGTAGACATAGGTGAGCTGGAATTTTTGCCAGCCCTGCGTTGTACTTTTATCCCTTGACTTGTCGACCTAATCTGCCTACCTTCCCAGGATGCACTTGCATCTCATGGGGGACCAGGGAGGAGACACCAAGTTGGCCATCTGGAAGTTAGAGTCCAGGTGGAGATGCCATGAAAAAGATTCCAGAAAGCTTCACACGTACCCTGTTTGTTTATTCAACCAAGACACCACCCTCTCTCCAGGTGAAAGAGACTGAGGGTGGGGGAGGGGCCTTCTTTTGCCCTTGCTCATGCTTGGGGACCCTTCTCGCTCCCTTTCCCTCTCCCTCCTCATAGGCAACTGTCTGGCCCACTCGGGATGGGTGTTTCCCTGTGGGGCAATCCACACACCGGAATGTGTGTTCACTGTCTGTCTTTTCAGTAAGTCCTGCTCTCACTGCGCGTTGAATGGATGCTCTGCTTGGGATTCGTACCTCTATGGGGGCAAGAACCTGGATTAAAGCTCAGGATACCTAGGCCAGAAACAAAGCAAGTTCCCCCAGACAGAAGCTGCTGATACTTCATGTGTGCAGCTGTGTGCACTTGACTCTCCATATCCATGGGTTCTGCAGGCATAGATTCCGTCAATCTCACGTGGAAAGCATTTGGGGAAAAATTGCTTCTGTCCTCAACATATATAGACTAGTTTTTCCTGTCATTATCCCCTAAATAATATCATAACAATTTACATTGCATTTTCACCATTTTAGGTGTTCTAAGTAATGTAGAGGTGATTTCAACACACGGGGGGAGTATGTGTAGGTTCTTGCAAACACTATGCTATTTTATTTAAGGGACTTGCGCATCCTGAGTTTGGTGTCCAAGGGAATATCCGGAAAACAATCCCCCAGGTATATGGAGGGAGAACTGTAAATAGGAGTGATGAGTTTCTAGTATTTGTTACTTTAAATGCTGAACTGGGGTCTAACAGACCTGACTTCCCACACTGCTGTCTCCCACTCTCAGTCTTCGTTTGAGGCGTTGCCCACTGTTCGTTCATTCACGCATGCTGAAACAGGCAGATGCTAGGTGCAATGATATCTCTGGCTCTGGGATGGTGTCATGTGGATAGGACCTACCTCGGGTCCTGCTCCGTGGGTATGGCTGATGCCGGGGTTTTCAGCACTGAAAACTGTAGTCCCAGCTCCGGGAGCTGTTAAAGGGATCTTGCCCCAGCCCTACAAGGTGAACACAAACTATTCTAGGGATCGTTTGCTGGCAGGTGTGGGTTTAGAGCCCTGGAATGAAGGTAGGTTCTTCCCTAAGGCCCAAAGGGTAGGATCCAGTGGTGTCAGTCATTCTGGAGATGTGTGTGGGCAGCCAGTGGTGGCCTGAAGCACAGGAACCTAGGTAGGACCCTCCAGGTTCCACAGGTGAGTGTGAGCAACTTCGGGGATTGCAACATCGACAATCACAGTGCCTGAGCTGCAGGGCACCATGAGGACTGCTCCCAATTCCTAGCAGGCATGCAGGGATGATGCTGGCATTTGTGCCCTGGGCACACAGCACTCTGTGCTAAGAGCTGCAGAGGGCACTTCCTCAGGGCCTGCCCTCTGTGCTTGTGTATGGTCTACTGGGGGTGCCCAGCCCAAAGAAGCCCAAGGGAGCTTCCCTAGATTGCTCAGAGTGAGAAAGCACAGCTCTTGCGAGTGCCCAGGCATCCTGCAGCTGCAGAACGCACAGGAGCCTACTCTCTGCCCTGCAAAGCATGCGTGCTCTGCCTCTGAGGCTGCTGCTGCTGCTGGGGCTGCCCGCTGTCCCCTAAGACAGAAGGGAGTTTCGCAGTGGCTGCCCCACAGCACACTTGCACTGATGTCTCAGAGGTAGAGGTATGCAATGTGAATTCCTTATTTATTTATTTATTTATTTATTTATTGGAACAAAGGAGTCACTTGGACCCCAGCTGGCTTTCCAGACTAGATCCAAGGTCAGAGAGGAGGTGGGATTCCTCATATTAGGGCTGCTGGTCTGCAGCAGTGGCAGGGGTCATGGTGCTTTCTGCCTATCTTTTCCCAGAAAGATGATGTCCCCCATCTCCCCAGCAAACTATTCATCAGATCAAGGGTTAATATCTATATTATATAAAGATCTAAAATACAGGGGCCAGCTCTGTGGCATAGAAGGTGGAGCTGCCGTCTGCAGTGCCCGCATCCCATGTGTGTCCTGGTTCAAGACCCAGCTGTTTCACTTCCAATCCAGCTCTCTGCTACGGCCTGGGAAAGCAGTGGAAAACAGCCCAAGTCCTTGGGCCCTTGCACCTGTGTGGGAGACCCAGAGGGAGCTCCTGGTTCCTGGCTTTGGGTTGGCTCAGCTCCGTTGGCCAGTGGATGGAAGATCTCTCTCTCTCTCTCTCTCTCTCTCTCTCTCTCTTTCTCTTTCTCTCTGCCTCTGCCTCTCTATGACTTTGCCTAGTCATAGTCATAGTCAAGTAAATAAATTAATTTTGTTTAAAAACCTCAGCAATAATGACAACAGCAAATTAATTCATTAAAGAAATAGGCAAAGGTTCCAAATAGACATTTCATAAAAGGGGAAATACACTTGGCCAAAAATAAGTGAAAAATGCTCAGTACCACTAGCCATCAGGAAAATGTAAATCAAAGCCATGAGAAATGATTAGCTTACTCCACTGAAAATGCCTATTGTCAAAAATACCGGTGAGGATGTGGAGGAAAGGGAACCTTTACATGCAAATTAGTACAGCCATTATGGAGAACCATATGGAGTTTCCCCAAAAAACAGAACAGGTCTGTAACATGACCAAGCTACCCCACTTCTGTGGATGAATCTGAAGGAAATGAAATCAGCATGTGGAAGAGCTATCTGCACTTCCATGTTAATTTCAGCCCTAGTCACAATAGCCAAGACACGGAATCAGCCAAGGTATCCATCATCAGGCAGAGAGATAAAGAATACGTGGCATATACACACAATGGAATATTATTTAGCCATAAAACAGAATGAAGTCCTGACATCTGCAGCAAAATGGGTGGAACTGGAGTTCACTGCGTTAATAGAAATTACCGAGACACAGAAAGATGAATACTACCAGTTCTCCCTCATATGTGAATGTGAATGTTAAAAGGATACAACAGATATGATTTTAAAATATTGGTTCCTAAGGCCTGGGAAGTTGTGGGAAGATGGGAAGGGGAGGGTTAATGGGTGCCAAATAGCAATTGGGTGAAGATAACGAGTTTCAGAGCCCCAGAGCCCAGCAGGGTGACTGTAGTTCATGGCAGTGTATTATATTCTGTGCAAAGAACTGGGAGAGGGGAATGATAGGCTTCAGAATCAAAGAAAAGAAATGGAAAGGTTAGTTACTTGGCTTGATTGGTTTATATTGTGTATATGTATTCAAATATTGCATTGTATCCCATAAAAGTGTACAAGTATTACATCACGATAAAAGAATTGGTCAAGATTTGAATCCAGTCTAACTTGAAGTCCTGAGACCTTAACATTTATGACCATCAGTTGAAGATAGTGGCAAGAGTAGAACTAGGGAGACCAGTTCTGATTCTAGGACAATATTTAGGTTATGCAGAATGGGGGCTCGGATTGGAGAGTGCACTGGGACGGAGGCCAGAAGGGGTATGAGAGATAGTGTGGTATGTTTTTCATGAGAGTTGGTGGCTAGATACTGGCACGGTCGGGAAGAAGTCCAGGATGGTCCCTATGATTCTATTCATTGTGATGGGAAAAGCAAGAAGAATCAGTGTCCTCCAGCCCCAGGCCTGTTTCTAGCGCCTGTTTCGTGTGTACTCTCTGTTCCCAGTGTGTTCCTCTAGCCTCACCTTTGCTTCAGATGCTTCTCTGCCTGCCTAGCCCATGAACAACTAAAGCCCAGATTTTTTTTTGGGGGGGGCAAGAAGAGTGGACAGTGAGAGAGAGAGACAGAGAGAAAGGTCTTCCTTTGCCATTGGTTCACCCCACAATGGCCGCTGTGTCCTGCGCACGCTGATCCAAAGCCAGGAGCCAGGTACTTCTCCTGGTCTCCCCTGGGGTGCAGGGCCCAAGCACTTGGGCCATCCTCCACTGCACTCCCTGGCCACAGCAGAGAGCTGGACTGGAAGAGGGGCAACCAGGACAGAATCCGGCGCCCCAACCGGGACTAGAACCCGGTGTGCCGGCGCCGCAGGCGGAGGATTAGCCTAGTGAGCCGCGGCGCTGGCCAAAAGCCCAGATTTTAAACCCATCATTGGACAATTCACTTGTCTTCACTTGTGTGATTCATTCTGTAACCAACAATCCTATGCTGCCTCTTGATGTCTTGCTCTTTGTATATTCAATTTATCTCTCTAATTAGCCTGTAAAACTCCATAGTGGTTCACTTTTTCATTTCTTGGATTCGCTTGGAGACTGCCTCTGGCCTGGAAACACAACAGACGTTTCATAAATTGTTATTTAACTCATTGAACCATGAA